CATGCATAATGTTTGTACAAAAATAATGTTTTAGCTGACACAAATTTTGAATGATTTCTGTAGAAGTCTTTTAGACTGTTAAAAATTGTGGTTATATATTGCAGTTAAAAACAACACATGCATTTACTCAGTCATGCTATTCTGTGATTCATAGGTTTCATTTTATACAATAATACATGTTTTAAATTTGAGCTTTAAATTTTTGATGTTGTATAACTATATGCAATAGAAATTACTTTTAAATCTTTTGATTTTAATGTGTATTTGATAATTATTATTGCTTTTAAGTCATCTCTCCATTGTTAAAATTCTTAAATCACATTGAAGGTTTGGTATTATTACAAGTCAGTATGCCTGTATTTCATATGATACAACAAGAAAGCTATAAATGACAAAAATTAAATATTTTAAGATTCTGTTGTACCTGGTTTATTTCTCTTCTTTACAAACAATTTTTATCTGCAGGACTCCCAAAATTGTTATGTATGTTTGACAATGTAATTTTTGATAAATAATAATTCGTTTCAAAATATATAGTCTAAATGTTTTATTTTGTTGTGCATAAATTGTAAATTGAAGTGGTCAGTTGATTTGTTTACAACATTTACTAGACCCATTTTAACATTTCAAGAATCTCTGTACTTACCAAAACCTTGCATGTTTTTGCAATTAAAAACATTTTATCATTGAGTTTTTGACATAATAATTTTCGGAAATGATTATTATCATGCAAAACTAACTATTGCTTAAATATCATAGCACGTAGTACATAGCTTTTGTACATAAATAGTCCAGTTTTCAAAACTAATTCTTTCTTTGCTTGTGTTCAAAGCTAAAAAGAAGATATTTTGGAGGGAAAAAGATACCTCAAGATTTTTCATTTGAAATGTATGGAATGAATTTGTGTTCAACTGTATAACAAATATATAATTAAGAAATAACAAAAAGTTTCAAAATATTTTAACTAAGTTTATTTGAAATGCAAGTTTTTAGAAAACACTTAAGAAATATAGAGGTTATTGAGCAAAATTTTGTAATGCAATGTTTAGGAAAACACCAGAGGGGTAAAGAAATGTTCAAAAATAGGCAGTCAAATACCCTTATATATTCAGCCATGCAGATTTTGTTAAAGATTTTGTGTTAAACTGTAGACCATATGTATTAGTGAACGTCAAAATGTTTGACTAAAAGTGTTTTTGAGAGTCATGGTTGTAGAAAACATTGAGCTAAGTTTTGTAATGCTTAGCTTAGGAATCCAAGGGGTGGCCAAGGAAAGTTGAAATCGTATATTGAGCAAGATTTTCAAAATTGGGGAGGGAAACTGAAACAAAATATAATAGTAATTAATGTTCGCTGAATGAAAGTTACATGATAAATGTTAGCAATAGTGACTTGTAAATCAGGTTAAATCTAGTACATTTTTAAAGATAAAAACAATATCTAAAATATGTCACTTCATAATGTTGATGGTAACCAATATATCATTTTATTGTATATTTATCAGTTTGAATACTGTAAATTCAGAAATTATTACATGCATTTATTATTGCAATTGTTTAAACAATCGACACAAATTCGAGTTTAATTAAAGAACCTTTGTGAGGACGTTCACATACTCCACGCCCCCACATTGTCACTGGACAAACAAAATCTCACCTAACTTCTAAGTTCAAAGACTCATAACTCTACAAAAGTCAACTGATAAAAATTTTCTTGTGGATATGCACATGAGTTGCGATGACAAACTGTTGCAGTAGTATATTGAGGCCAATAAGTTCAAAGGGCATAACTCCAAGAAAAAAATTGAATCATAATTTCCTGTCGATATGCACATCTACATAGTCTGTCCATATTATCTACAAAGTTTCATGAAATTCTGTTGTGTGGTTACAGAGAAGTTGCGACGACAAACTGTTGCAGTAGTATATTGAGGCCAATAAGTTCAAAGGGGCATAACTTCTAGAAAAAAAAATTGAATCATAATTTCCTGTCGATATGCACATCTACATAGTATGTCATTATCTACAAAGTTTCATGAAATTCTGTTGTGTGGTTTCAGAGGAGTTGCGATGACAAAAACAGGACTGACGGACGGACAGACGGACGGACGGACGGGTCAAAAACATTATACCCTTCGCAACTTTGTTGCGTGGGGTATAATAATTGCTATTACAGGAAATACTGCATACCAATAATGCTATCAAAATTTAGAATATGAGTTTTTATTTTAGCGACACCTTAGTTGCAATTTTTGCAATAATAAAACACCGCAAAAATTTCTGAATTAACAGTTTATAAAGCTTACATTTGATTAATTTATTTCTGTTATGATTGTTGATAATTTTCAATTTTCAATAAAATAAAAGAATTCTTACAAGTTTGTTTATTTCCATTATGAAACATTATATTAACTAGCAACTCATCCTACTGTGTAACAAATAGTGTATACCTTAGCAGCAATAACATAATAAAAAAGTGGACGTAGGACATTATAGACAAAGGTGAAATAGTTGAAAAGACAGTTTATTGAATTTTTGACATAAAAAGTCCACAAACACTTAAAGACTCGACAACGTCTATCCAACAAAAATAAAGGCGCTTCTGATTAGTAACCTAATACAGCTCTTTAGAGGATTTTTTTTTTTTACACCTTAACTACTTAAGTTTCTAAAGTGAGTGGCTTTTGTGCAGAGCCGAAAAGTCATCATGCTTAGTGAGTGGAGAAGCAAGAAATATCAAATTTTCTCAAAATATTAAGGAAAATGTTTTCATAAATATGTATAGCGTTTAATTAAAAAAAAAATCACAGTCATCAGTACGACCAATTACCAGGTAAACTTGTAATAGGCTACCATCTTCTAGAGGTGCCACTCTGACTTAATTTGTCAAATGATAATTTATGTACAAAAGAAACACATTAAGGGTCAAAAACTGTTCCTTGTGGAACTGAGTTGTGTTTCCAAAAGTTTCATCTCCATTTGTTACGCATTGTTGACGTTGCTTTAGCCACGCATTTACTCCAGTTTTTATATTTGTATTCCATAATGCTCTAGTGAACAAAAGGCACCGTGTTTGGTATAACATCCATAGGCACTTTCCTTTGATTTTTTTTTTTTTTTTACCTATATACCTTTGCATTAGAGACATGCGCCTGTGATTACATGAATACTTTGCTTAAGTTTAACATTCAATAGGTTGGTTCCTATCATAAAATATTCAGTATTGTCAAACCAGTCCCGCCGGGTACCAGTCTAAATATTCAGTGTCATATTTGCTAGCACTTTGTAACCAAGATTTTTGGCTATATCATCATTTGTTATAACAAATTGAGGGAAAGACTTCCATTTGACGCAACAAGAATAAGCTTAGACATACACGAACGGGGATTCAAAAGGAAATCTTGTCGACAAATGGTATGCGTCTCTTTATGCTAACACATTTTTACTATCCTTAGTTTTCCAGTGACTAAAAAATACCGTCCACTTGGTTCCCTTTGAGACCTATTCTAAGGTCCATTTTGATCATATAGCTTGCCATTTGTTCGTGTCTCATACATCCTTAGCTTTCAAATGTGTAATGGACCTAAACTTTTCTGACATGTTTTATTCAAAACTTTCCTTATATTAGTATTTACTAGCACTTGTTCGTTACAACTGCTGGTGGACTGAAAATGACTCCTTAGGGTATCATCAACTCAAACGGTAAGTTGTGCTACGGTATACCGACATGATTTATAACAAACATTCGTAAATTCTTTGTTGATAAATTTTTAGAAATTATTAAGAAATTAAGGTTCCAACTCCCGCAGGCAAAGTTGACCTTAGATAAATCTGGCTAATTTTCGAGTCCCTTTTGGTCTTTTGGCTTTCGAGCGTTCCTGATGAACGAATATTCAGAAAAACGCTTCGGACGCACGAAATTAATAATAGAACAAGTATAATTATTATCATAAAGTGTTATTTTCATTTGAGTTATTGTTGACCTGCTTTTTTATAGTCCTTAAAAGGAACGAAATATTTGCCACTGGACGTACCAACTTTCTTCAGATACTTGCTGCTGGACGTTAACTTTCATCACATACTATAACTATACCTAAATATACATGTATTTCATTATCAAATGCTTCGTACGGTATAGTAAGCTCAGTCAATGAATGAAATAGTTGACTAAATGGAACGTCCAAGGCGTAATGGAAATTATTATTTATTGTTTAGTTGTTAATCATAAAATACATAATTTATGAAATCATTTATCCTACGTCATAACAAGCTTCGATACACATTCAATCTACCTGTATGTGTATTTGTTTATATATGATGAGAGCCATTTAAAAATCTTTCGATAGGAGTATAACAGTTTGACCGTATTAAGCAATAACTTGGTCAAATGAGGTCAGTAAACAAATTATTCACTATTCTGTGGCATTTATTTCCTTGAGCCAGTTGAGGACGTCAAGTTAAAGTTATTTTGTTATAAATTATGTTTTTAGGTTGATATTTTACAATGTCCATTTGAGACATCGTTCGTCCTAGTTTACGACTTGTTGTGATCAATGCAGTCACATTGCGAAATGTAATATATTTTTTTATCTTTTATTCTACAAATGCTAAATGCTTTAGCAATATATGTTTTATATCAAGGATCGTTGTCATACATTTTGCAGCATTCGGGTGGCTTTGGACATGTAATATAACGAGGTCTATATATATATTTATTATGTTAATTGTAATATTGATCTGTCCGTAACATAGCGACTCTGCAAAGTACATGTATACTAAATAATCTAAAAATGTAATTACTTTGTATTGCTTGTTGCAGTTGTACCTGGGTACACGTTGATCTAAAAATAATTTCTCACATGCTTGTTAATCACAAAAAAGCTCTTGAATTTAAAGAAGGGGAAAAGCCCTTCTTGATGTCTTTATGTCGGAGTATTGTTTTACTGTATATAAATATTTTTTTATTATATAATAGAGTGGACATTTCTTATCTCTGAATACATATACCTCCTGAAAACAAATCAACCGAAAACTTTGTAAGATGGAATATAATTATTTCCTGTGAATCCAGAACAAACGAAAAGTAAAAAGAAGACCATGTTTTGTTTATCGGGTAACCATGCTATTTACATATCTTAATTATTTAAAATGTTAATGTTATGGTTTCTTGCGGACTGTTGTCTTGCGAACTAGCACGTTACAAAACCGGCTCAGCGTATTAGTCTGGTAGAAAGCAGGGTTCATATTCATATTACATTAACATGTTCTCGTCCTGAATATCCATTTAATTTGCCGCTGGACGTTAAACAACAATTTATCCACCATCTTACTTATGGTGCGTTTAAAAATGACAGTGAAAGTTAATTGAATAATTTACCAGGATTACCATAACTAGACAAACATTTCGACTACATGTTTTCAAGGATATTAGCCAGGTTTAAGTAGATTCTAGTGTATAATAATGCAGCTACGTGATATTGTTATGAAACTATTTATTTTCTTTCTATATATGTTCCTAGAAAATCACTATGATATTCCTTTTAGTACATGTTTTCCTATAGAAAACTATTGTTTCCTTGCAGTAGGTGTTCCTAGAAAGATATTATTTTCCCTTTGGAGGTATTTTATGTTTTGATTGTTTAACCTTTCAAACTTTGGTGGTTATTTATATCCATATTTTCTGATCACTGCAAACGATATTTAATAAATTCAACAGCAAAGCAAATGTTTGTTTTTTATTTAATATCAAAGAACTGTTTGCACAAACTACGAATTTCAAATTTTAGACATGGAAGATTCACCAAAATGTTTTTATGATTTTTGCTAAGTGACTATAAACAAAAATGCACAAAAGTCAGATTTATATTATATATTATTACATGCATGAAATATTTACCACTGGACGTTAAACATCCAACAATCAATCAATCAATCATGTGTATGAATACTGCAAGGTTTGTCTTATATGCAGTTCAGACACGTATTTCAATTCGAACTGAACTGTTACATCAATGTTGTAGATGCAAATATTTGGTAACAAAATGTAACATGACAAACAGAGAGTATAACAAACGAAAAGTACATTCGTCAATTCCGTAATTGACCCTGTAATTAGAGAACCATTTGTAAGAGTTGTTTCCCTTAGGAGGTATATACATTTTCATTGACAAATGAAGAGTTTGCAAAAAGAGAAAATATATCTGTGCGAAATGTGTGTAATCTTTGTTTTTGTTTCTTCAAATCTTTCAATTACTTTTAATCATTTGTTAAGCTAAACACTTTTGGTATCAATAGTTATTTTTATTTAAGTATTGGTTAAAGCGCCTACATATCATTTTTAACATATCAGGTTTTTCTTGAGCAGCAGCCATTTTAAAACCAGTTTAAAATTGAAAAAGGGAAACAACCTGTGTGCGAAGTGTGTTATAACAGAATCAATCGATAATTGTAAATAGACAATTGAAAAATATCAACATTTATTTAGTCGATGTAAACAATGTTCTTTTTTTGTGATTTTGGCACTTTTTATGATCACGCTGTCACCGGATGGGGCAATAGATGGGCAATAAGTGTTACCCTTGTCCGTCTGTACGTACGTCCCAAAATTGGGTTTAGTTCTCTAACTTTAGTTTGCCTCAACTAAATGTTATGAAACTTATACACAATGCTTATTACCACAAAACACAGATCAAAGTCGACTTTGAGTGGAGTCACTTTTACCGTACTCGAGTTATGCCCCTTTATAACGTTAAATGCAAGCGGGGGCATCATCTGTGTCCTATGGACACATTCTCCATTTAGTTCCTTTTTTATATTCCACTATCTGAAGTACCACCATTTTTGTATTGTAGTACGGATAAACAACTGCGTGCATTTAAAGGATAGCACATTTCGCTAGCCAAGGGTTTTGATCCAGTCCCCTCGAGGACAATGCCTGGCGACCACTGCACCAACAAAAAAATCTCATTATCAGAATGTCATAACACATATAAACTAAGGATTTTATCCAAGGATATAATGCTAAGTTCACAACACGACATAAACATCTATGTATACACTTTTTCTATGTATGCGAAGATCAGTTCCATCACCACAGCCATATATACACCGAAACGGTTCATGCAAACCACAAACCACGACCCATATAATGTTAATAATAAATCACTACGTAGATCACTGTATAAGTCTTTGCATTGCAGAAGTCCACTTTGGTAGAAGTATAAAAAAGCCTCCAAATGATAAATTTTACAACATATGATCAGAAATCAATGATTCAAAGTCGGAAAGTCATGAAAAAATAATAATGTTTTGAAATTACACAAGTAAAACCATCCAAATTCCCACAAAAACATTTTGTGCGATTCACGTGACTCTCTATTTACGTATATCATTGATGTAATTCATAACTTAAGTAGAGAATGGTGTCTAAGCGAATCTCGAGTGTTTATTTTACGAAAGTCGAAATTTGATTATTAGATATAATTTTCAGATTGAGTGTACAGATATTATCATGGATAGCCAGAATATGGATTTTTTAGATTCATCATTGCTAACTCCCGACCTAACATCTGACACAGACTTATTCTTTGGTATTGCTGACTTAGCGCTATCTGATAGCTCACCAAATCACTTATCATTTAATTCAATATGTATGTCAGTGTTAGACAAAGAGCTATCCTGTAGTTCTTCCGCAGATAGTGGTAAAGGGGAATCGGAAGATTCGGAAACAATACATAGAGGAGAATCGGAAGATTCGGAACCGGTACATGAAGAAAAATCGAAAGATTCGAAAGTGGCACAGAAACCGCCAAAGAAAAAGCATCACAAAAATCAACCGCCTGATGCTGAACATCTTCCGCCATGTAGAGTTTGTGGAGAAAAGGCATCGGGACTTCATTACGGCGCTAATACATGTGAACCATGCAAGGTAAGTAGATGAAACATTAACTCAATTGTATTATACAGTTTACCATGTGGTATGGATTGCAAACTATTTTATGAGATTGGGACTACTGAAGTCTTTAACTCATTTTTTTGTGAAAAGTAGTATAACATCAGCCTCATTGTAAGAAAAACTTACTAATAGTTTATTTGAAATAAGTTTGCAGGTATTCCGAGAGGATTCACATTATATTTCAATTGAAGATCTCTGTAAAATATTTAGGGTAAATGATGCATTTTCACATTTGTACTAAATTGACATTTACGCTTCACGAGAATTAACCATATTGTGGTTATAACTGATTCAAATCTTTCAATTACTTTTAATCATTTGTTAAGCTAAACACTTTTGGTATCAATAGTTATTTTTATTTAAGTATTGGTTAAAGCGCCTATATATCATTTTTAACATATCAGGTTTTTCTTGAGCAGCAGCCATTTTAAAACCAGTATAAAATTGAAAAAAAAATGCCTGGCGACCACTGCACCAACAAAAAAATCTCATTATCAGAATGTCATAACACATATAAACTAAGGATTTTATCCAAGGATATAATGCTAAGTTCACAACACGACATAAACATCTATGTATACACTTTTTCTATGTATGCGAAGATCAGTTCCATCACCACAGCCATATATACACCGAAACGGTTCATGCAAACCACAAACCACGACCCATATAATGTTAATAATAAATCACTACGTAGATCACTGTATAAGTCTTTGCATTGCAGAAGTCCACTTTGGTAGAAGTATAAAAAAGCCTCCAAATGATAAATTTTACAACATATGATCAGAAATCAATGATTCAAAGTCGGAAAGTCATGAAAAAATAATAATGTTTTGAAATTACACAAGTAAAACCATCCAAATTCCCACAAAAACATTTTGTGCGATTCACGTGACTCTCTATTTACGTATATCATTGATGTAATTCATAACTTAAGTAGAGAATGGTGTCTAAGCGAATCTCGAGTGTTTATTTTACGATGTCGAAATTTGATTATAAGATATAATTTTCAGATTGAGTGTACAGATATTATCATGGATAGCCAGAATATGGATTTTTTGGATTCATCATTGCCAACTCCCGACCTAACATCTGACACAGACTTATTCTTTGGTATTGCTGACTTAGCGCTATCTGATAGCTCACCAAATCACTTATCATTTAATTCAATATGTATGTCAGTGTTAGACAAAGAGCTATCCTGTAGTTCTTCCGCAGATAGTGGTAAAGGGGAATCGGAAGATTCGGAATCAATACATAGAGGAGAATCGGAAGATTCGGAACCGGTACATGAAGAAAAATCGAAAGATTTGAAAGTGGCACAGAAACCGCCAAAGAAAAAGCATCACAAAAATCAACCGCCTGATGCTGAACATCTTCCGCCATGTAGAGTTTGTGGAGAAAAGGCATCGGGACTTCATTACGGCGCTAATACATGTGAACCATGCAAGGTAAGTAGATGAAACATTAACTCAATTGTATTATACAGTTTACCATGTGGTATGGATTGCAAACTATTTTATGAGATTGGGACTACTGAAGTCTTTAACTCATTTTTTTGTGAAAAGTAGTATAACATCAGCCTCATTGTAAGAAAAACTTACTAATAGTTTATTTGAAATAAGTTTGCAGGTATTCCGAGAGGATTCACATTATATTTCAATTGAAGATCTCTGTAAAATATTTAGGGTAAATGATGCATTTTCACATTCGTACTAAATTGACATTTACGCTTCACGAGAATTAACCATATTGTGGTTATAACTGATTCAACGCTCATATAGTCAACTACTGCACAATGTTCTGTTTGGACTCTCGATATTAATTTCCACCTTTATTTAGTTTCGCAATAATTATTTAAAGAAGAAGATGTGGTATAATTGCCAACAAGACAACTCTGCACAAGAGAACAAAATGACACAGAAATTAACAACTATAGGTCACCGTACGTCCTTCAACAATGAGCAAACTCATATCGCATAGTCAGCTATAAAAGGTCCCGAAATGACAAATGTAAAACAATTCAAACGAAAAAAACTAACGGCCTAATTTATGTACAAAATAATGAAAAACAAATATGATACACAGAAATAAACGACAACCATGCACTGAATTACAGGCTCGTGACCTTGTGTGGTTATTCTAAAAGAGTTCATGAATGCTAAATTAAAGTATAAACTCTGCAGACTCATTTACAAATCAAAGGACTTGTTAAATTTGTTAGTGGTAGACCGGGAACAAACATCAATTAATTCCATCAAAAAAACTTTCATTACCTACAATTGAAATGCACTAAAGTTATGCACTCTTACAGAACCGTTATCTATACTTTTGACGTCATGAAATGAGCTTATTCATGTATAAATGTTTTGTTGCCATTCATGTAAAAAGACCTAACATACACTATTGGAATAGTACATTATGGATATACAGTTACTAGGCAACCATTCTCAGATTAGGCTAATGTTTGATTCCTATTGTTTTGAATATCATTTAATTCAATGATTAAAGAAAAAAATACTTTTAACACTGACATCTCACCCCTCCAAAATTTGCTCTTAGTGGTGTCTGACGAGAGATCTGACATACAGATGACCATAGTTTTATAACCAAGTTAACTCTGGGAGTCTTATGAAAAACGCGAGAAAACGTAAATATGGCTTTCAATATCTATTACTGCAACAGCACATTTCAGGAAACGGTATATGATTTTGGTGAATGTTACAGGAAAATGCAAATAAAGCTATTTTTTCAGGGTTTCTTTCGTCGCAGCATAGTCAAGATAGAAAAGAAAAATGAGAAATACGTTTGTGCTAAAGGAGATGAATCATGCAAACTTGGGACTGGAAAACGGACAATGTGTTCCTATTGTAGATATAAAAAATGTCTAGATGTAGGAATGTCACACGGAGGTAAGATAAATGTGCTTATATCGAATGTTTAAGTGAAGCAGGATCTACTTAATCTGCTGGAGCACATTCCGTGGGATTCGTGTTGCTCAGTCTTTAGTTTTCCATGCTGTGTTGTGTATGCTGTTGTTTGTCTGTTTGTCGTTTATCGTTTTTTTTTGCCATGGCATTGTCAATGTGTTTTCGACTTCTGAGTTTTTCTATCCCTTTGGTATCCTTTGCCGCTCTTTTCTGATTTAGTTGAGGGCCTACTGCCTTGGTTGTTGCTATGTGACCTCAGTGATAAATTAGGTATAACAAAATATATATATTTGGGTTTCGTATCCTTTATTATTTCTGGCAGCATTATTCGAGCTTACGAGATGTACGATTGGTTGTACGGGATGTATAATTACATAGACACCTCCAGTCTAAATTTTGACTTTAAGGATGTAGTTAGGTGAAATTAAAAAAGCTAGAATTTAAAATTGATACTATAAGTCAGAAGAGCATTAGTAAAGGAACAAATTAAGCTAAAAATATTGATAGGTTGAGCTCCTTCTTGCGATATTTGATTTTTTTTACATGGCGGGAAGAGGCTTACTCGGACTTTAACCTTATATTTAGCATTGGCATTATTTGGGTCTCAAATCGTAAGAAAAAAAAACAAACTAGAATCTGCTAAAATTTTGGTAAAGACCTTTTTATGAACTATTGAAGTCTTCTGTGAAAAGAATAGTGGGTTATATGGGGCAAAATATTTTACCCTGTATCAAAGGAAAAAACCCAAGAAGTCCAAACATCTGACAAAAATTCATAAACCTATTCTTAAATCCGATGTCGCATTTTGACGTGGTATACATTTCTTACACGTATCATTTTGTTAACATATATTACCTTATAATTCTGAAAATGAACTGAACATCATAAAGTTCCATACCAAATATAAAATCACACCTTAAAACCGAATTTGAGTAATATGTAGAAACCTCTCGGAATTTTGGGTCCGCAATGCTCGACAACCTCGCACTTTATTGGGTCTTTTTTTTAAACTTTTTTGATTGCAGCGTCATTGATGAGTCTTTTGTAGATGAAACGTCATTATGCAGCATACCATCAACTCCCCTGTGTGGGGAAATGACAAAAGAAAACGCAAGGCTTATTTCATGACATCTACCTAACAATCTACACCTAGTAAAAAAAAATACAGATGAAAGATCATTATTTGATTGAGACCAACATAGAAGATATTTTTGTTATTGTCTGTTTGATTTATTTACGGACGTGTGTCGAACCACGTGTTATCGACCGTCATAGAAAATACGCCAATCATTTCATTCTAAATTCAGTTGATTGCGACTCGTTAGCGCCTGCTGGTAACCTTCATAATAGAATTAGCATCAACCATCCATCTTTTGTGTGTGAATGAGAAAGAAGGAAAAGGGAGGGGGGCTTTTTATTAAAAAAATAATGTTTTGATTGTGGAAATGTGCGATACAAAGTATAATTTTCATTTTTTTTTTCGTTTTAAAAATGTAAAGTTTGCAAAGGTTATATTCTGAAAATTAAAAAGCTCTGAAAATTGCTAGAAATCTTAGATGTATGCATATTCTAAAAATTCTTCAAAATGTCAGAACGATTGGTCAACTTCAAAAGGGGCCTCGATGGCCGAGTGTTCTAAGATGTTCAACTACTGTATCACTAGCCTGACACGTGTGGCAGCCTGCGCTCGACTCCAATCTTAGGTTACATGGATTGTCAGTTTTCCTGCCGAATATCGGTGGTTCTCTCAGAGTACTCCTGCTTTCTCCACCAAGAAGACTGACCGCCACGAAATAGCCAATAGTGATGAAAGTGGCGTTAAACACCAATCAGTCGACCAATCAATCAATTAACTTCAAAAGACTATATGTCGGTGGATATTTTGATTTAATGTACAATCATGTACATGATGTAGGGGTTGCGTTTCTGTTTGTCCCGAGTAAAAAACTCATACCCACAACCAACACAAAAAAGATGAATAGTCTGACTTTTGTCTGACGTTTAACCCTGTCTGTAGTCTACATTTTATGCTATTTCTACTATCGTCTTAATTTCAGCTATTAAAATTGGAAGGTATACCCACGAAAAGAGAACCAAAGATATAACAGAGGTCAACAAATTAAAACTAAAAGAAAATCAGACAGTTGATACGACATCAGTTGATGTAACGGAACAGGAAGTTGATGAATTAGTGGCGCGTTTGATTGTTATCCAGGAAGAATTCTGTGCTGATTTTAGAACATGTTTTCAACCAGGTGGCCTTCTTGAAAGGCAGACGTCTATTTATGTAAGTTGAGTTAAATGAGAATTATATATTTATTTAGGGGTTTATACATACTGAAAGGAGATAGGGCCAGTTTTTCCATTTCACTCAGAGGGTTAAAATTAAAAATTGTGAAAACCTACTAGCATTTGAATATTATAAGAGTCTATATAGTATACTTTTTTTTGTTTGAATTGTTTTAACTTTTTTATGTCGTGTTTTTAATAATGTACCATAGTGTATCGATTTTGCTCATTCTTGAAGGCTATACGACGACCTAATATAGTTGCTTACAACAACGTCATTTGGTCTCTGGTGGATAGTTGTCTCACTGGCAATCGGGGCCTCGGTGCCCGAGTGGTCTAAGTAGTCGAACTACTGTATCACTAGCCTGCATACACTGAGGTTGTGAGTTCGAATCTAGCACGTTCGACTCCAATCAATATTCACTAGGATTGTCAGTTTTCCTACCGGGCACTCCGGCTTCCTCCACCAATAAAAACTGACCGCCAAAAAATATCACAATAGTGCTGAAAGTGGAGTTAAACATCAATCAACCAATCAATCAATCATTGACAATCATATCACATCTTATTTTCAACAAACTGAACAAACTATGAACAATTTTACCTATTCGCATGAAATCAAATATTATTCGTCAACTTTGTTTATTGTTAATTTCATTTTTGGAAAGATAATGATATCAGGATTCGGTTTGAAACCGAAAACATGATCGACAAAGCGTGAATTGCATTTTCCCCGTTTTTAAGCCTTTTACAATTAAAGCCTATGTATGAGGTCGATACGAAGATATATCAACTTGAATGAAGTAAATCGACTGATATACATAGTAATTTTTTTTTTAATTTTCAATGCTTTTCAACTTCGTCATTTATTTTGGCCGTCCAACTGTTTTGATTCTAGCGCGTGTGGCATATTAAACTTTGAAAAAAAACAAAGATGTGGCATGATTGCCAATGAGACAACTATTCATAGATCAAAAGACAAAGATGTGAACAGTTACAGGTCACCGTACGGCCTTTAACAATGAGCAAAAACCGTACCGTATAGTCATCTATATAAGGCGCCGGTATGAAAAAAGACGTAAACGATTCAAAAGAGAAAACCGACGTCATGGAATGCTTTATACTACAACAATGAACGAAAAACAAATAGGCAGACAGCAACCTAGAACAACCACTTGATTGCAGGTTCCTGGCTTGAGACAGGCACACACACACAATGTGTTGTAGTTTAATATTGTTAAAAAGCCAGGTATCTTTGGTGAGGTTTTAGTTATACCAATATTATGAATGAAAGAAAATACAACCAAACAATCGTAATAAATTTTCAGTCTCATTTTTAAACGCTTCAATCAGTTTGACAGTCATCAAAATGCACTGTTTGTTTTTATTTATTTCCAGGAAAGATTCAAAGAAAAAATTGAAACATTTGGTAATCTTGTCGCATTACCATGGAGTGTTTACAATGAATTTCTATCTACAACTGGAATGGAACTTGACGATAGAAAAAGTCATATGAACATCATAGCAGCACGAATGGAAGAAGCCGTTCGAAACATGGTTAGTTTTGCAAGACATATACCGGGTTTTTCTGATCTTCAGACGCCAGATCAACTAGCTTTACTGAAAGGTAACAAATGAACACATATATTTGCCCTGAAACAAAAAATACCATTCATCAAATGATCATCCAAAAATTGAAAAATACCAGAAATAGGTCAGTTCATAAAGGGATTATATTTTCAAAACAATTGATATTTTGATAGATGGTTACTAAGAATGCTTCTGTATGTTTTTGTTTTGTTGTTTTATTCCTATCGTTTTTGTCTCGTCACAGTGTGCGAGACATAGGAATTACTACCCAGAGGCGACGCGGAGTAAATATGTCTTGAAAAAAAACCACTTAACTCTATACTATCGGTATAATATATAACTAAAAATCATAAATTGTATAAGTACCATGTAATTTGTATGAACCACTAAGGTGTAAAACAGTTACAAATGTTTTTTAATGGGGTTCCAAAAGGGATATACTGCATTTTTGGCGCCAAATATCAAGAAATAATTAATGAAGATTACTAAATGTTTGTTTTCCAACTAAATTGTTGCACGATGAAAAAATAATAACATATAAAAGACTAAATTTAAAGTTTCTTCTTTAAAACTCTAAAAGTTAAAATCAAAACTTGATCGAAATGACTTCTAGGTCGTGTTTGTTATACTTCCTACTGCGCTATATTTCGTGAGCGATTTGACGGAGTTTGTATTCACATGATGGCCAGGAGACGCATAATTAACCTGTCAAAGAACACGCGATTATGCTTAGGCTTTTTATATTGGTTGGTTTATTACAAATGGATTAATAAGATAAAAAACATGATCAAACATGTTGCTGCTATTATAGAAGAAATTGAAATAAAAAAAAAGACTATTTCTACTTGGTTATAATTATCTCCTATTTCATCTAAATTTAAATTACATGTTTGAAAAACAAATTTGCAAACGACATATAATCGTTGTAGAACTGATTGAAGAAATGTCCAGTAAATCTTTCGTATATTCCATTTCAGCTGGTTACATGGAATATTGCCTTCTTGGAGCGCATACTAGAATCAACCCAATTCTCAAAGTATTTTCAGCTGCTCGTGAAGTACCAATACTCGGAACACATTTTTCTGAAATTACACATTTATTGGAACCAAAAGTCATAGACCAGGTGTTAGATTTTGCAACCAGTATTCAGAAGTGTCGGTTAACAGTCGAAGAAGTAACACTTGCACGAGCGATTGTCATTACATTTAGTGGTATGAATATTACAAGATTTAATTATATATTATACCAATAGGATAAGAACACTTCGGTGTTAAATGTCCTATCTGTATCTAATACAATTTGTTATATGACTGTGGTTATTTTTGGCAATGTTTCACGTTGTTTTTGTAACGAGTGAACCCAGTTAAGGATATTCCGGAAACTACGTGGTGTGTGCGCACATTGCTTCTGTTTTACAGTTTTACAGTTTATACAGCTGATAAATGGGAATTTACTGGCATGACTTAAATATTACATTTTAAAAGGGGATAGTCATTTTGTGAAATCTGTAGTTGATATTTTTTAATTATATTAAGATTATACGTAAGGAAACATTTCTTCGTCTATGCTAAGAAAATGTTTCAGGCCTAACACAATTCAAACGGTTTATTTTTTAAGGAATGTGTCTGTATAAGGTGCAGTTAAGCTTCGCTCCTATTTATCAGTTCCTCGGTTAGCCATTAAAGGGACCGTTCAAACAGGGTGTAATATAAAACAAAGTCAAAATCGGTTTATGGAAACTGCCAATTGTAGGTGTCAGACCACCAATTCACCCACTTCAATTTAGAACGTATGTAAAAATAGCCCTCCCCTGAAAAAAATAGTGCCTTTGATGTCATTGTTCACTTAAACTAACAAACACATTTGCAGAAACGAAACTTTGGTGAAAGAGAAATATATGTAGACCATTTTGAGCCAAAATTTACTTGTCCATGAGTTTGCATTAACAATTGAGGATTAATGCGCTCCATAGTACACTTATTAAAGATTTCCAGAAAACCAGGGGTTATTTTAAAAGCAATTGACTTCCGAACGGCAGTATTTACAAGATTTTAAACATTGGTTGAAAATTGGCTTTTAGAAAGGTAATACATGTACAATTCGGGATATACCTGGTTTCTATGAAGTTAAACTTAAAGTAAAATATTTAGAAAGGTGTGAAAATTGCTAAATTTGTTTGAATAGATAGGGATTTTAAATTGGTGGTCTGACACCTGTACTAAAACTATTGTTACGTACGACTTTCACAGGCAAAGTTGGCAATTCAATTATACAATATTGGTATTTGGAATGCTCCAAAAGTTTATAGCTTATCATATTGTTCGTTATATTGTAAAAAACAACGTTGAGCACGGTGAAATCGGATCTAAGTTTTTTATATTGCAGTACTAATCATCTCTATCTGAACTATAAAAACATCTTTACATAATCTTACCTTTTTATATTTTATAGAGGCAAATTCTTGAAGGAACCCGCCAACAAAGCAAGATAAAGTTAATGCATTGATATTTCTTTATTTATAATTTTGTGAATAAAAAAAAATGTCACTCCTTTTTCAAAATCAACGAACTGCTACAAACGTACAGAGATAATTGAGCACAAATGATAACATTATTTTCATAAAATGGTCTTCGTGTTGAGAATCTTGTTAAAATCAATAAAGAAACGCCTTTTCAATAGAATAAACACAAAAATGAGGAAAGTTTTAATCCTATTTGTCCTCAATCAAGTTAATAAAGTTAGAACATATCTTTTCAAATTCTATAAGTTTGAAAAATGTTCACAACGACCCGCCATTTTTTTTTTTCATTTTTTTTATGAATAAATAACTGTTTTTATATTTTTGTGTTGACAGATCGATGTGTCTTACAAGAACCAGAAAAAGTTGACAAAATCCAGATGAATTTAGTCAATTGTTTACGCTGCATTGCTAAAAAGAATCATAAAAATCCTGATGAAAGAATATGGCAGATATTTGACAAATTTATGATACTCCGAAGTTTATCCGAGCATGGGCCTGAGATTTATGCAAGAAGGTCAAAATGGGATGCTGTGAAAGACCGTCCTCTTCTACTAGAAATGATAAACCCTGAAAACCAACCAGCATCAAATGGGATATAATTTTTGTGGAAGATTTTTATAGAGAAAAACATTGATGCAATATTGAAGGGGTATTCGCTTATTCTACGTACTGTTCTCTGATTTCAATTGTATTTTTGCAAATTTCAAACGGCTATTCACAAATTTATGAAACAAGCATAATTTATTATATACAAAACATTTTATTGATGTATGCATAATGTTCTAAAACATGACACGCGTAGTTTCAAACTGAAGCTATGTTTTCTGATATTTGTAGTTATTTTATTTTGAAATAGAAAGGGAAGAGAGAAAGAAATGAGATGCATTTTTGAATTTTTTTGAAGAAATATTGGAAAAGAAAAGTCAATCTTTAGATTTCAAAGAGTTAGGAATTTTTTCTAATGGCGGACCTTGTTTCCAATTCTTTTATGTTTTTGATAAAGTGAGACAACTCATACTTAAGACAGATCGTTTTTCTTTAGATGCTTTTGTGCTTTTTTGTAAATAATTGTTTGTTTTGATATTGTAACACAGTGATGACTGCTGTACCCATATTTCGACTATTTTATTTATAATGTCTGTTTTGTTCACGCATCGTTGTAAATATAACGGAATTTGATGAGACTGTCGTACAAGTGAGAGGTTTAGCGCTATAAAACCAGGTTCAATCCACCATTTTCTACATTTGAAAATGCCTGTACCAAGTCAGGAATATGACAGTTGTTGTCCATTCGTTTGATGTGTTTTGTCATTTGATTTTGCCATGTGAGAAGGGACTTTCCGATTGAATTTTCCTCGGAGTTCAGTATTTTTGTGATTTTACTTTTTTTCTGTCAATGCAAACCTTATTAAAGTATTGCATTTTTATATATCTTAACTAATAAGAAGTTGCCTTTCGTAACCACCAATTTTCAATACCATGACCATTTGTTTTCATCATAAATGTTCCTAAAAGTCACAATTATTTACCAGGTCTCACACAATACACGAGACTTGCACTACTTGTTTTGTATTACCATGGGCAACAATTTTGTTTTACTTAGTAGTCGGTATCTTGCAGACTAAAATTAAACAAAATCAGTGACGAATCCGGGGGTGGGGTGAAGAGGGCGTACGCCTTTTAAGTCGGCAAAACAAATCTCATCTTTCTCACGATTTATATGAGTTTTTTTTATCATAAAATCGTCCATTCTTTTTATAGATTTCGTTTTCTGGAATAACACAGCCTTTCAAAAATCATGGATCCGCTCCTGAAAATGACCTTTAGATGATAAGGAAATTGTTTGCTATTGCATCAATATTAAGATGTCGAAACAGTTCATCAAATTAAATTACGGTCTCATTTATAAGATTAATTGAAAACAGCATATTGCAGATCTTGAGAGCATTTGTAACAATCACTACGCTTTTTACAAAATAAATTTTATTTGAAATAAGATTGTTATTCATTTACCATTTCTGTCTGTATATTATTAAGTCATTATCGTACCTGTTACCCAAAGAATAATCAGTATACATGAAATACTTAAATCCAGAACGTTTGCCAAAGGAAGACCTAAGATACACATATATGTTATACTTTGAACCAGAACCTTTTCCCTGGATCTTTGACATAGTTGAATATCTTTTAATTCGCCGTTTCAGAATCTAGTGAATTTTAGGTAATATTTTCACAAGCGTATACCAAAACGTGTTGATTCTATTACAACGTTCTTTAAGATGTTCGCTACTCTGTTTCAAAATAACAAGCTTTTTAAAAGACTGTAATAAATTAAAAGTATATACATAAAGGAACTTAAAAAGCAGATAAAAACTAAGGGTCCATGTGCTTGTTTTCGAGAAATAAGCCATTGAAAATATGGCGGGAAATGATTCTATCTAGATTTTTCATACATTGAACATTAGCACCTTTTTTTTTTCAAAAACAATGAAAAAATAACAAAGATTTTGAAATATTGCTTTTTGAACTATATTTAACAATATTATGAAAAGAAAAGTAAGGGTTCGTGATCAAAATTTTTTAATGGCACTACATGTATAAAACCAGAGGATTCCGAATATCTGGCAACAATTCAAAAATAAGAGAAGCGAACATCCTTAACAATGGAAGTTCAACCAATGACGCATCGTAGTTTTCATTTTGGGGTACAGACAATGAAACTATACACAATCCTTTAGATACTGAAACGGCGAATTGAATCATAGACATATACAAAATGTATACGTTATGCTTGATTTCAGAACCTTTTTCGTTGATCTGGAACCTTAGGAAAATATGTAGGGCATTATCAATAATTCCAATTTGTCAAACCTTATCAAAATGTAAGACAACAAACTAAAAACAATTAACATATCTTATTGTCAAAACTAGAAAAATAAAAATGGAAGTTCTTTTAACATAGGGGCCTCGGTGGCCGAGTGGTGTAAGTAGTTACTACTGTAATCACTAGCCAGTCAACACTGAGGTTGTGAGTTCGAACCCCGCTCGTGCGGGTGCACTCGACTCCAATCTTAATTGACTAGGATTGTCAGTTTTCCTATCGAAGGTCGGAGGTTTTCTCCGGGCACTCCGGCTTCCTCCACCAATAAAAACTGGCCGCCACGAAATAGCCCAAAAGTGGTGCTTAAAAGTGGCGTTAAAACACAAAAAAATCAAAAAATCAAATCTTTTAACATAAAAAAGTGTCTCCTCCAAAACAAAATAATCATTACATCAGACAAGTTATAAATCTTGACACAGATATGTTTGAATTTAAAAATACAAAATGGCGTTACAAAGAACAAGATGTTGGTGATGTAAAAGGTGTATTTTGTCGAAGGCACTGACTTGAGGATGTGTTAAAAACGTTGAACGCTACAACAGATAGCAATGATTCACTAATTCACTAATTATACGACCGCAAAAAAATTTTGTGGTCGTATATTGGTATGACGTTGGCGTCGTCGTCGTGGTCGTCGTGGTCGTCGTCGTCATCCGGCGTCGTCGTCGTCGTCCGAAGACACATTGGTTTTCGCACTCTAACTTTAGTTAAAGTAAATGGATCTCTTTGAAATTTTACCATAAGGTTCAATACCACAAAAGAAAGGTTGGGCTTGACTTTGGGGGTTATGGTACTAACAGTTAAGGAATTAGGGGCCAAAAGGGGCCAAAAATAAGCATTTTTGTAACTTTCAGACATAACTTATGTGTTACAGTATGGATCTCTCTGACATTGTACCACAAGGATCCATATTACAAAGGGAATGCTGGGATTGATTTTGGGGTAATTGTCTCAAAATTATAGGAATTAGGGGCCAAAAAAGGGGAAAAACAAGCATTTTTCTATCCATGACAATAACGTGTGTGTAAGTGTATGGATCTTTCTGAAATTGTACTACAAGGTTCCATATCACAAAGGAAAAGCTGAAATTGAGTTTAGGGGTAATTGCACAAAAAGTTTAGGAATAAGGGGCCAAAAATGAGCATTTTTCTAGTTTCAAGACAATAACTTGTGTTCAAGTGTATGGATCTCTCTGAAATTGTACTGCAAGGTACCATACCACAAAGGGAAGGCTGGGATTGAGGTTGGGGGTGATAAATCATACGAGGGTTTTAAAAAATTAGGGGGGGGGATTTTTTTCCCTTTTTTTCCTTTTTTTTTCTTTAAAATTTTCCATTTAAATTGGTTATTTCTGATTTATATATAAAAGCAAATAATAATGATATGGTTTGTATAGGTAAATTAAAAAAAAATAAGTTCTTAGACCACATTCATTTTGTGTCAGAAACCTATGCTGTGTCAAATATTTAAGCACAATCCAAATTCAGTGCTGTATCGAGCTTCCGTTTTTATTCTGTAGTTAGTCCCACTTTGGTTTTATCAAGTATATCTATGATATAGTCATTTTATAAAATTTACTGTTTTGCAAAATTATAAGTTATTATGGTTATAAGGATGTTCTTGTCCCAGGCAGAAAATCCTGGCCGTGTTAGGCGCAACTTTTTGGAAGTTTTGGTCCTCGGTGCTTTTCAGCCTTGTACTTGTTTTGGCTTTCAAACTTTTTTCATCTGAGCTTCACTGGTTGGTCTTGTGTGGACGAGACGCACGTCTGGCGTATTGAATTTTAAGCCTAAGCTATTATTCGTGTGTTTCTTTGTCCTATATGTTCTCCCATTTATTTGTATTGTGGTCCTGTCATGTGATGTTGTCGTTTTGGTGTTGTGTTTGACGTTGCCATAAAAGCAGGAGGTTTGGCATGCCACAAAACCAGGTTCAACCCACCATTTTTTTTTTCTTAAAATGTCTTGTACAAAGTCAGGAAAATGGCCATTGTTATATTATAGTTCGTTTCTGTGTGTGTTACATTTTAATGTTGTGTTTTTGTTGTGTCGTTGTTCTCCTCTTATATTTGATGCGTTTCCCTCAGTTTTGGTTTGTAACCCGGATTTGTTTTTATCTCTATCGATTTATGAGTTTTCGAACAGCGGTATACTACTGTTGCCTTTATTGAATGTTGTGTCCATACTTGCCCCAACTGTTCAGGGTTCGACCTCTGCGGTCGTATAAAGCTGCGCCCAGAGGAGCATTTTATTCACTAATGCAGCCGATTTTACTTCAGGCAGTAATAACATTGATTAAAGGGTCTCATTTGGTTTTGCAAAAGTAATGAATGTGTAACCGCTTCCATACTTTGAAAGTTTCTATAGGTAACAAGAGGTAACGTCTAGTTTAGCAAGAGGAATGAATTATCAGCCACTAAACTCTTTGAAAGTACCCATGAGAAGTCTTTTTCAAGCGAAAAGTTTCCAAGAATGTCCTTATTATTCAGTGACAGTTAATGTCCTTTGGTCTTTGGAAGATAGTGGTCTCATTGGAAATCATACCTCACGACCATTCTTTAACAAATGTAAATACATTATAGGTATACTTTTAATTTGTGCCCCTTGAATTTAATTAATTGTTGACAGTTTCAATTCCATTGACAAATTCTACCAGAATAGTCGGGGACACAACATGTTTATAACATGTACAATCGCGGTTTGTGTTAAACCATGTCTGAAATCTATATTTCAACTTTTTAGGGCATCAAATTTCATAGCATCAACACGCAAAAGTAACATTATAGTTTTGAATATCATACATAAATTTTTCAGTCGTTATGTCTCTAACAAGCATTTTGATTTCTTGGATTGTGGTCTTTTATATGGTGAACTTTGCAAGTGCGACGACGAGTTCTTGTCGAACAGCAGACGGTAAGTAGTTAAAGTCTAGATGATTAAAAACAATACTAATTCAAAACAGAAACCACTCAGAATATGCTAAGACGGACATCACGAAATAAATCGGAAAACTAAAGCTTTACAATCCGCAATCTGATAGAATCATATCCATGTAGAGTGCTCTGATTGAACTGGTATATCCAGTGCTCTCGAAATAGTATGCCCTGCTTCATATGTAGCACCAGTGAACTTAATTTAGACGAAATCAAAACAAGATAAATGAACGGGAGTATGACCCTCAGGCTTATGACATATTAAAAAATATTGTAAGCTATATAAATTAGCTAGATAAAAATGATCATTTAATATTGTTGTTATACTAACAAATTGCGAGACTCGGCCAAGCATTTACAAAAATGTATTCTCCAAAACAAAATAATCATTACATTAGTCACAAATTTATCTCAATACTTACTAAACAGACAATATAATATAACCTGACCTACTGTGGATTCATTTTATTCGTGGTATACCAATTTTCGTGGGTTTCGTGTGTCACAGCGAACCACGAATTTAAGAATTCAACGAAGAATAATCCAGAGAAATGTGTATGGAGTCGGATATTTATTTCCGGTTATGTTATGCAGTTCTAGTATAGTGTTAAACTAGAGATAAACATTGTAACATAACGCGTGTTTTTATTGAAAGAAGATACAAGTATTTTGATGAAATCAATAATTAATATATCGAATATCAGTGATAATTTACTTTTTAAAATTGATTAAACTGTTCATGGAAAATGACTGTTGTTAATTACCGTGTCATAGTTTGGTTTACTGGTGATTAAAAATCAATAGGATTAAGTACGGGGATATTGCCCGTAGGTAATATTGTTTATGACAGGAACATTTTTTTTTAACACCTCTTATTTATTTGACTGTTTATTATATCGTGATTAGGGAACTGAGCTTTCAATCATAGAGTTTTGAATGCCTTATAAAATTCCGACAAAAATTTATAAATTGTAAAACAAATAAATAACTAGTTGTCTCTGTCCGTTATTGTAATAGAAGTTTTTAATGAACACTTTAACCTAGAATGACCAAGCGAGGATTTTGACAATTCAAAACTTTTTCAATGAATTCCTTCTTTTTTGTTTGTTTTATTATTGATCAAACCAAGGAGGTTATATGATCTCCTAAATCAAAAAGAAATCCAAGAACTACGTGTATCATTTTTTTTTTTAATCAGCGATCCACGAATTTACGTATACCACGAAATGTCTTTTTTTCTCTATCCACGAAAATTGATACCCACGAAAATAAATGAATCCACAGTATATTCATCGGAGTAAATTGCGTATCAAACTGCATGTGTTCAATCACTTGAGTACATGACAGTTGCGAATGAAAAAATACAATATCAGGATTTAGTTAGCCTGCTATAAATATTTGTATTTATTTCTATATGAAAGTCTTGAATGGCGAACGTGATGCATTCATTAGAGCATTCAAGTGAATTAAGAAAAATCAAAATAAAACACTTTTGAAACAATTTCAGGTCAGTTTGATGTCACTGTAAATTACCGTGGTAAAAATGGACAAGAAACTCCTAAATCGTCAGTAATAGCATTCTACGCCTTCATGTCAAAAGCAATCACGAACCCGGGCGTTGGTCGACGACTGGTATTTGATGTCATCAAGCCAAACCAGGGTGGTGGATATAACAGCCATACAGGTGTTTTTACCTGTCCAAAGACTGGGACATACGTTTTCGTGTGGGTTATAAGACTGAATTCTGCATATCATTCCTTTGAGTTGATGATCAATAATTCCATGTATGGTTCCACCTACCTTTATAACAAAAATGCCGACGGCAGCGTCAGTGGTACAGTTGTTGCGTATGTGTCGAAGGACGATAGTATTTACGTTCGTATGCACTCTTCCTACAATGGCGTGGGTGAATTATACACTGATAAATACGGTAGAACAGCATTTTCCGGATGGTTACTGAACTAAACAGTTTGATTTGAATAAATGCATTCTCTCAAAATATTTGTATGTGTTTTTCATAGCATTATTGCCAAAATATAGTGGATTACCCTCAGTTATAAAGTAGAACTGCTATAAATGCTAGAATTCGACCCCTCTTAAACTGTTTAATCATTGATAGGTATGATTATGATTTTTCTAGGCAACGCAACATAAATAAATATAGGATGCACTTGAAAAGTCAAAATTATTTGTCCAGTCCTGCACAATACACAATGATTATGTATCTTGCTTTGTATTGCCACGGACCACAGTTTTGTTTAACATAGGAGTTGTTTTCTGTTGCAAACTAAAACACAACATTTTAAAAAGTGGTTAATTTGAAAATTAACTTTTGAAAATGAGGAAATAAGGAAATTAACTATTGTATAAATATAAAAATGTTTATTAAATTACTGGCACATAAGATTGATTGAAAACGACAGATTGCAGATCTTCAAAGCATTTATAACAATCATTACCGTATAACGTTTTTTACAAAATGAATTTTATTAGAAATGGGATTCTCATACATTAAAAGTGGGGCGAAAGATACCAAAGGGACATGCAAACTCATAAGTCGAAAATAAACTGACAACGCCATGGCTAAAAAAGAAAAATACAAACAGACAAACGATAGTTCACAAAACACAACATAGAAAACCAAAGACTGAGCAACACGAACCCCACCAAAAACTGGGGTGATCTCAGAGCTCCGGAAGGGTAAGCAGATCCTGCTCCATATGTGGCACCCTTCGTGTTGCTCATGTTAGTACAAACCCGGTAATAAGTCTAATTCGGTAGGTCACATTCGGGAAAAGGGGACGGGATTGTAGTTACGACATTAGGAACATATCCGCTATCATTTGTGAAACGGATATTCCGTAACGGTCAACCAACTCGTGATATCGTCCATAAAATTTACGAAGGGATGATTTCAACTTCACCACTTGGAACTCTTGGTTTAATAGCTTCCTTGTCAGCAGCAACCTACTATCAAGGAAATCATGATAGGAAATACAAGCCCTAGAGTATCGTATCAACTGGGAGATACATACTCCGTATGCAGGCGCTGCTGGAATGTTGCTACATAAAAATGGAAAGTTCACAATTGGAAAGCTGAAATCATCTCTTTTGTCATAAAGTTTTGTTTTCAACCGACCCTCATTGTCAATTTCTAGATGTAAGTCAAGATATGAGGCAGACTAAACAGTATCTGTTGTATCCTTTATCTCAAGTTCGATGGGATAGATGCGTTCAACATTGTCACCAAATGTTGAATTATTTAGTGAGAGAACATCATCTTTGTAGCGGAAAGTAAAGTTAAAGGATACTGCTAACTTCTTTTTTTTTCTTCCTAAAAAGTTCCTGTATGAAGTCAGCCTCATATGAATAAAGGAACAAGTCGGCAATAAGAGGGGCACAGTAGTTTCCCATGGAAATGCCGATTGTTTGTGGAAAAACACGTCCTTCAAACGTAACAAATATGTTGTCAATCAAGAAATCAAGCATCTCGATAATATCAGTTTCAGAGAATTTTTTGTTAGAATCAGAGTGATTTTTTACAAAGTAGGATTTATCCCTCACTACGACCAGATGCTTGTATCTACGTTGGTCATTCTTTTTTATGTAACAAAGCAGGACCAACTCTTTCAATTTGTCTTTTAGTTTGGAATTGGGAATACTTGTGTAAAGTGTAGAAAAACAAATGTTTTAATACTATTGCAAGATGAAAGAGTCTTAGATTGTATGTAATATCTTTGGAATTTTTTAGTATCCACATCTGATTGACGCCACCTCTTGAATAGGTTGTTTCACAATAACTTTGAAGCCCGGCTTTGATTGCTGATAAAATTGATGTAAATAATTCAGAAAGATTCAGTTCTTCATCTTTGGTTGAAATTCCAAAGGAACATAGAACAGACCTATGATTATCCAGGATTTCCTTTTTAATTAGTGTCGTGGGGGTATATGTTGAGTTTCCAAGTAAATTGTCAATACCTAATTCATTTATCAAGCAGTTTATTTAATGTGATTTACACACAAAAACGATGTTGTTTGGGGCTTTATCTGCGAGGACAATAACATATTTGTCATGGAGGTAGGACAAGTGTTTAGCAACATTGTAGTCTTTATAGATTGATGTAGCATGGGTATAAATAGATCCATTCAGTTTCTTAATTTTGATTTGTATTCTTATTCTTATTCACGTTTTACCCACTGCCTGGAATAATCCTCGACTGAATCCATCAGTATTTTGAAGTTGTATTTCCAATTGATGGATTTAGGCTCACGATATTTCGGGCCTTAGGATAACACATTTCGCAGAGAAGTGTTATTGACAATGTTTAGGTCACCTGTAATAACGTGGCCAGCCGGATTATATATGAATGAGACACAAGCACAGGCGCAATCAGGAGGTTAGACTTGAAGTCGTCACTATTGAGATCCTGCAACACGTGTTTGTAATTAAAAATTTTAGTTGCAATTGGTTTGGTATAGGTATAAGAAATGATAGCTACAGACTGATAAAAAAAATAGGGAGGTATTTTCGAGTGAACTAATTTATGATGAAGGATATTGCTCAAGTTGATGGCATCGAGACTTGTGTTGGCAAAGGAAAGTTTAAGAATGGATCTTTTCTCTTTTTCATCTTTTTAAACGCGAACTGGTTTGAAAAGTCTGTGACTTGCAATAACCGAAATGCTAGCTGTAACTTTGTATTGGTTTGAATGAGAGTTTGTAACAGTGGTTTCCAAACATAAGTTGTACAGAGAATGAAGTTTTAAAAGGGGTAATGAATAAAGCTTCGTGCGAATGTGATGAATACCTAACGGTTTTTGTATAAACGGCAGCAGGTCATTAATAGAGACATCATGGATAGTAGTGATGTATAATGATGATGACCATGACTGCGTCTACGTCGAGGAGTAGAGTTAAAATGTTCATCACATTCACCGAGCTACAGGAAGGACTAGATATAATACCTATACCATCAATTTTAGTCATTGCAACCATATGGTGTCGCAGTTCCCAATAGTCGAATCCAGTAGTCTTCTTTCTGTCTACGGAGAGGTGTTGCAAGATGAGGATTGTTAGTCCTGTGGTATATTTTTTCGAGAAAGCGAACTTGCATAGAAACGTTTGAATGATCAAGGTGGTTAAAATGCTGGTAAAAAAGTCGCTAGCACTGTTGTTGATGTCTGATCTATGGCCGCACATAAGTTTATTTAGCCTTCCTTTCGTTTCACCGACGTATACCAATCCGCAAAGGTTATAACACTCTAATCCGTAGACGACATTATTTGATTTATAATTTAGTTCATCGTATCTTCTGGTAAAAAAAGACTTATTGGTGAAATTGCTAGTATATTGAGCATCATTAAAATTCCACAGGTTTTGCAGCCTGTGGCTTCACATTTCGAAATGAGACAGTGTTTTTCAGAGTCATCAAAATCCAAAATGTCTTATAGAATAACTGAACACGACTTCGTACGTAGATTATTGCCGTTGTCATAAGTATGATGATCTGAATGTGTCATGTTAGGGATATTTGTCATATCTGGTGATGAGGGGACATATCAGACGACACCGTGTCCATGGTGACGTCTGTTTCAGACCTTTTTATACTGGGCGACGTCAAATTTCCGTATGTATATTATTTTCATTACTGTACCTTTTATCAAAAAGGATAATACAATATACATGTATGAGTTATGAAACAAGAACTTTTGTCAAAGAATCGGCTACGATACATATGTACTATTTTGAACCCGAAACATTTGCCTGGATCTTTGACATATTTGAATAACTTTACATCGAAAAATTGTAACTGGATCTTAGACAAATATTTACGTGTTTATACTTGGTGCTAGAACTTTTTTCGTGGATATGGAACTTCAGAAAAGTTAAAGTGGGCATTATGAATAATTTCAATTTGTCAAACCTTATCAAAATATAATACAACAAACTCAAAACTTTTAGCATATCTTATTGTCAAAAGAAGAAAAATAAACAGGAAGTTCTAAACATACAAAAATATCTACTCCCAAACAAAATAAGCATTACATCAGACAAGCTATAAATCTTGACATAGATATGTACGAATTTACAAATTCAAAATGGAAGTGTTAAGTACGCTAAGCACTACTATAGGTAGCAAGGACAGAGAATTGCAGTCCAATTTTAATTCAGGCAGAAATAACATTGATTAAAGGGCCTACATTTAAGTTTTGCAAGAGCAAAACAAAAATACTATCACTTGCACACTTTCGAGGGTACTATAGGTAATGTCTATGGTTTCCGTCTAAGTTAGGAAAAGGAATGAATTCAGTGCTACAGCAGTCTTTGGAGGTGCCCATACGTACATTTGTAGACTATTGCAAGTGAACAGTTTTAACTCTTCCCAGAATGTCCATTTTATTCAGTGACAGTTAATGTCCTTTGGTCTTTGGAAGATACTAGTCTCATTGGCAATCATTCCTCATGACCGTATTTTTATTAAGGTGAATACATTAGAACCTTGAATTTAACTTATTGGTGACAGTTTCAAGTCCATTGGCAAATATTACAAAAATAGCCAGGGAAACAACATGTTTATGACATATACAACCGTTGCTTTATTAGACCAAGTTGGAAATTTTTTTTTTCTTTTTCTCAGTGTCAAATTTCATAGCATAGAGGTTTTTGTAGCGATCAAGAACCCAGGAGATTCTCGACGACTGTCTTGATGTTGTCATGGTCAACAGTTTTGGTTTACCTAGGAGATGTTTTCTTTTAAAATTAAAACACAAGATAAAAAAATTAGTTAATTTGAAAATTAACTGTTAATGATAAGGAAATTATTTGTTAATGAATCAATATATGAATGATATGAAACCGTTTAACAATATTGTCTCATAAGATTAATTGAAAACGACAGATCTTTAAATCATTTGTAACAATCATTACGTTTTTTACAAAACAAGTTGTCTTTGAAATAAAATTTTCATTCATTCATTCATCATTTCTGCAAACGGATCGGTATGAATACAAACGTTTAAACCAGAACCATTTACCTGGATATTTGACACATTTGATTTTGAATAACTACAACGATTTTTTTTCGCTGGATCATAGACACATAATACGCTCCTTTGGAGTTCATGCGATTCCCTCCGTATCTGTTTGTTACCTTGATTTGTCCATTCCTAATCGATTTAGGAGAGTTGAACATTGGTAAACCAATTTACAATTGATACTTGAACTTTTTTCGTGAATATGGAACTTATTCCATATTCCATGAAAAAATATATAGGGCATTATCAATAATATCGATTTGTCAAACCTTTTTAGAATATAAGACAATACACTAAAATAAAATAAATATTTTTTATAGTAAAAACAAGAAAACCTCATATTGAGATTTTAAACTTTCAAAAAATGTTTTTTCATACCTAAACATCATTCAATTTACATCAGACGTGTAATTAAAAAGCACAACAGGCTGGTGATGTAAAGGGGCGTCTGTTGTCGAATGCAATGACACAAGGAAGTGTTAATTACATAGAAATGCAACCCATTTTAACTTCAGGCAGTACTAACCTTGATTATAGGGCCTGCATTTAGGTTTTGCAAAGGAATAAATTTACAACCTCTTCCACTCAATGAAGGTTTCTATATGCTAATTATAGGGTTTCCATGTAGGATTTGCAGGAGAAATGAATTCGCAGCTACAAAACTCTTTGAACGTGTCCGTAAAAGAGAGGCGCAATATACCAAAGGGACATTCAAACTCATAAGTCGAAAATAAACGCCATGGCTAAAAAAGAAAAAGACAAACAGACAGTACACAGACCACAACATAGAAAACTAGACTAAGCAACACGAACACAACCAAAATTGGGTATGAATTCAGGTGTTCCGGAATGGTATATAAACCATGCTCCACATGTGACACCCTTCGAGTTACTCATGTAAGTACAAACCCGGTGATAAGTCTAATTCGGTAGGTACGCATTTGGGGATAAGGGGACGGGATCGTAGTTACGACGATTGGAACATATCTATCGTCAACTGTGAAACAGATATTCCATAACGTCCTTTCAACTCGTGATAGCATTCGTAAATTTAACGGAGGGATAGTTTCAACTTCACCACTTGGAACTCTTGGTTGAATAGCTTCCTTGTAAGTAGACTATTGCACGCGAAAATGTCTGACCCTACCCAGCATGTCCTTATTTTTCAGTTAATGTCCTTTGGTAGATAGTTGTGTTATTGGCAATCAAACATCATCACCTTGTTTTAATAAAGGTGAATACATAAGTCTACTTTAAGGCCTCTTGAATTTAATTAACTAATTACAATTCCAAGTCCAGTGAAAAATATTACAAAATTATTCAGGGGAGCAACATGTTTACTAAAATGATACTATACAACATGATGCTAATACTAGACCAAGATGAAAATATATTTTTTAACTGTTTTCTCAGGTTCATATTTCATAGCATTTACACGCAAAATTAACATTATAGTTTTTAATATCAAACGAATAAAAAGCTGCTCTATTGTAGATCACGCTAGAATATTTCAGTTATGTCTATAACAAGCATGTTGATTTCTTGGATTGTTGTCTTTTATATGGTAACCTTTGCAGGCGCGACGACCTCGTGCCGAACAGCAGACGGTAAGTTGGTAAAGTCTTCAAAGTAACATAATAACAAACAAAAACAAAAATAATTTACAAGTATAACCTTTTCAAAATAATATGTAGTACTTTGCGGTATCATAGAAATCACGTGAGCTTTTGATTTTGTATTTTTGTTATTTCATGGTTATCATCTAATGAGTGATATAATATCAATAGTATACACTTCATATGTAGGTAATATTAAACTAATCGTGTTATGCAGATTTTGTAAATGGAAAGCATAATAATAAATGTATCAATTCTGACTATAAACGCTTATCCAACCATATGTAATCCCGGTAGCAACATATTCATCGATCTGGTTTAGAAATTCCATACTGTTAAGACGAAAGACAAAATTAAAACAAGATAAATGAACGGGAGTGTGCCTTCAAATAATGTCAGCGATACAAACCTGCATATAAAAAATTATCCTCGAGCATTGTTGTTTTACCGACTACTCGCGAGGCTCAACCATAAATTGATCACAATTGATACTCCACAATAATCCATGTTGTCGTTGTTCCCTCTGTCTCTATTACTCTACGTGGCTCTTTGGTTAACGCATTTCAAGGCATTGTGAGGTCCTCGTACGTTGGTCCTGTAATGATAAGTTTGACCGTGAATTATCATAATGTTTGAATCTACTTTGATTAGTTTGACTCAAACGTATAAACCTTTCCTCCGTTTAATGATGCAAAAAACTTTCTATCGTAAAAACCAAACAAAATCAAAAATTACAATCAAATAGATCAATAATCCGATTTTCGAAATATTGATGTGATACAATATCAGCTGATTGACAAAATATTTCAAAGCCTTTTAAACTTGTTCCCTGCAGTAACTCGACACAATTTTCATATTGTGCCGATACGCAGATGATATTTTGCTGCATCAATATGCAGAAAACCTGATAATCGAAACTAACTCGACCGACATTATATATAAACAGACCAGTCATATATTCACCGGCGTATAATGTGTATCAAAACGTATATTCGTTCCATCAATTAAGAAAATGGAAGTTGCGAATGAAAAATTACAATACCGGGCTTTTGTAAGCTTGCCATAGATATTTGCATTTATTTTTGTATAAAGTTGAGAACGTGACGCATTCATTAATGAAAACTATTATGTTTTCAGTTTTTGACTTATGAGAATTAAAAAAATTAAAAATAAAACAATTTTGAAACAATTTCAGGTCAGTATGATGTAACTGTAAAGTATCGTGGTAAAAATGGCCAAGAAACTTCTAAATCTACAGTAATTGCATTTTACGCCTTCATGTCAAAATCAATCAAGAACCCTGGCGTTGGTCGCCGACTGGTATTTGACGTAATAAAGACAAACCAGGGTGGTGCATATAACAGCCATACAGGCGTTTTTACCTGTCCAAAGAATGGAACATACGTTTTCGTGTGGGTTGTAAGACTGGATCCTGCATATCATTCCTTTGAGTTGATGGTCAATAATTCCGTGTATGGATCCACCTATCTTTATAACAAACATACCGACGGAAGCAATAGTGGTACAGTTGTGGCGGATGTGTCGAAGGGCGATAGTGTTTATGTTCGTATGCACTGTTCCTACAAAGGTGTAGGTGTATTACATAGTAATGAACACGGCAGAACAGCATTTTCTGGATGGTTACTGAACTAGACAGTTTGATTTAAATAAATGAAATTTCTCTAAACCTTTTCATGTTTATTCCATATCATTATCGTCAGACTATAGTGGATTATCCTCGGTTATCAAGTAGAACATAATTGCTAGCCAAGGGTTATGATCTGGTCTCCTCGTCACGCCCTGGCCCGTCGAGGAGGGGACCCGGATCTTAACCCTTTGATAGGGAAGATGTAAGTAGAACTGCTTTGCATTTATTTTGACAGTTCAACAGAAGTAAAACACTTGCTACAGGTTTTTTTTCGATATACAATATCTGTATTAAGCGTTCTTTGTAATGCTTAATTTCGGCCCCTTTTTTAAATGAAAGGTACAATTGTGATTTATTCAGACAATGCCGCATAAATATTCATTTCTATCTTTTATTCATTACAAGTTCACACATAAGTTATTTTTGCCAATTGCAACGCTGGTCATGTTGTTTATTTTCAAAATGCAGAATCGTCCTTTAAATGATATTCTGGATGGACCGGGGTCCTTCCAATATTTATTCTTTTTTAATACTATTTCCTCTATTCCTTATCTTTTTTACTTATTACATGTACATTGTATTATTCTCTATTTACTTGTTATTCTCTATTCTTCTGTCTTTTTTACTTTTTATTCTCTATGCTTTATATTTTAACACCTTATTTTTCTCTTTTCTTTGTTTTTTGTACTATTTTTGTATATATTTTTTGCCATTTATTCTGCACATTTTGGCTGTTTTTCTACATTTTGTAAACTCCATCCTGACCCTTCTAAATGCGAGTTTTCTCTCGGTGAATGTTAATGATAATTACAACAATCATTTGTTTTAACTTGCATTACATGATTGTTGATTATTATTCATCAAATTTGACATGTTCTTTAATCGAGGAAAGCATCGTGCACACACCATAGTTATCGTCTTATTTTGATTCTAAAGGACTGGGTAGTTGCTGGAAGACTGTTAGTATCGGAGGTATCATAAGATCGGCAGTTATTATCAAGAAAAGGTTCCAACTCCAACATGCAAAAATGAGCGTAGAGTGAAACTAAATGTAATTATGTCGCTTTCGGTCCTATAGCTCCTCTAGTTTTTCAAGTTTTCATACATCTCTGACTTTCATATTTTTTGGTTTGTCCATTCCTGTTGTTGGTAAATCAAAATACCGCTTTTAACCCACCAATTATATAATACAACCTTTTTAGATTGGGAATTTACATGTTTCAATAAGAACCAATTGGGTATATTCTAAATGGTAATTCAATTAACTAGATTTACGAAAAATTTACTGTCCTTGGAATATGAGGCTATACAAGGTGAAACAGTAACGGTGCACGGAGACTTCCGGTTAATTATTGCAAATGTTGAAGACATTTAATGACATTGAGAACGGAGTTATCTACGTTCCTGATGATATCGTTTACAAATCAGATTCAATATTTACATTGCCATAATTATTATCAATGTTTTTGACAAACTTATACAAAACAAACTGTCAAAGTAAACATGAACCTTTACCATTGCAATAAAAACATACGCTTCTGTCCGCTGTTTATCAGGACAATTTTAAAGATTATCCGATCAGTTCTACATTTTCTATAGCTACTGTAACAGTGTTTAATGTTTAATGATTTTGTATTTTGTTATCTTAGGTAAATCAGTCCTCTCAATAAAATTTCTGGCTAATATGGCAATCGAGGAAGAATTTTTCCTCGTATCCAAGTATATGACACAGTTTAGAATATTCACCCTTATATATTTCCATGTTGTAATCATTAATACGGAGTTTAATAAAACCACTTTCTCAAAAAAATAATTAAATCCTGGTAAATGAAATAAAATTCTTTATTTTGTACGCCATTTTAATATAATTGAGAGACAAATAAACAATCATTGATCGTAATTAAATTACAATGATTAAAGGCGTTTTATCGTTAAAAATCTAAATAATAATAGTCATACTAGCGTGAAAAATAGCAAGAAGTAAAAGAAAAAATGCAAACAAACAGATGAAAAAAAACATTTTGTTAACAATGAATCGTAATTTTATAAATCGTAAACAATTGAAGGCCGGATAATATTGCTAACATCGACGTCATTTGGTATCTGGTGGAGAGTTGTCTTATTGGCAATCACACCAAATCACTTTTTTATATTATGTACAATATTTTTTTGTTGAAATAAAAAGTATAATGAGAAGAATAAGCAAAATATATATTTCCGCATACATGAGAGTCTGGGGCCCTTCATTTCTGTATTTTTTAAAATTTTTATCCATTATTTTCTATTCTTTATTTTTTCCCCATTATTCTTTATAGTTTAGCACCTCATTATTCTCTAATCTTTATTTTTTCTCTTTTCTTTATTGGCCCATTATTCTCTCTATTATGTAAACCCCATTCAGATATCATACATACAAAGAGAAATCTAAGATTACAAATCACTTAATGGCACCAGAATATTCCACAAAGGATTACAGGGTTTAATAACTATTTCTGTAAATATAATGAATCTCATAAAAAAAGAATATTTGATATAAGGCTTTTTTCATCCTACCTTTTACTAAAATGTCGTGATTTAGAACAAATACGAAGAAAATGATATATTGACCAAGCTCGGACATTTCTGACATTTTCAACAGCAAGGCCTACAGGCGTAATATACTCACTTAATCATTTAAAATTGTTCTTTCTTCAGATCAGTTGACGATTTAAAATACTAACTGGCCTCTTACCAATACAAATACTATCCGTTTCATTTCAATCTTTCAATGAAACTTCATGAAACCTGTTAGGGGTGTTGTTTTCGAACTTTTTATTAAGCGACAGTAACCAACTAATTAAGTGATAGCAAGCTGCCTTGGCAATGTTAGCTAGTTCCCCGACGGAGCAGGCATGTTTTGGTCCCGATAAATTCAAACAAGAACTGTTCCCAAAGGATCATCTTCGATAAATAAGTCTTACTTTAAACCTCTACCTTTGACTGGATCTTAAACATACTTACATAACTTATCATTCAAAAAAAAATTGGCTAGAACAGACATTTATTTACGTGTTATAATTGACGCAGAATCTTTTACATGTACATGGATGTGGAACTTATTTTTTTTTTTTTTTTTTAATTCTATATAATTTTATTTGAAATGTACATTTGTTAGAGATACATAACGTACCGGTACCTTATCCCGGTCTCGTTGACGTTAGTACATAGCATTTCATAAGGTTAGTACTTGTTGGTACACAACATACAGTTTTGCTAATAAATAATGTATAAGAGAATAAAAAGAAATTACTATGAAATATTTTAAATCTTAGTTAAGAAGATAAATTAATTTTTTCTGCAACCAAATTGTAGAAGTTTTTATATTTGCCTTGTTTATTTGTCAATATTTTGTAGTGTTGGAGAAGTTCACTTTAAATATTTCAAACACATTAATTTGTTTTGTTTTCTGCTCGGATATGTAATACACTTTAGATATAGTAAAAAGTATGATTGTTAGAAAATCGTTGATATTGTAATAATTTGTATCGTTTATCTTATATCCGTACAAAAGTGATGCCAGTGATATTATATGATGTCCTATTTTAAGTTTGTCTAGTATTAGTTTTATTTGATCCCAAAATGATTTTAGATATTTGCATGTCAGAAAGTAATGATCATAATCTTTAATGACATTACATATATTACATAGAGGAGTTTTAGGTATTTTCCAAGAGAAAAGTAATTGTTTGGTTGGTAAAATGTAATGTAGAAATTTCCATCTTAACATTCTCAATTTATTATCTTGGATATAGTTAAAGATGAAGTACAGCATTTGTTCTCTTTTCCTTGTATTGTTATCTAAATTTAGAATTCTGTCCCATTTTTGAAATCCTATTGCTTTCTCATAATATCTATTTAAAAGCGAGATGTAGATATCTTTCGAGGAAAATATTTTTATTGGTACCATTTTTCCTTCTCTATCTTTGAATTTAAATTCGGAGTCGGTAGCAACTTTTGTTTTGATTGACTCTTCTTTTATGAGCTCTTGTAACCACTGTTTTGGTATTGCTTTCATCAATTTAGAATATTCCGAAAACCAATTAGCATGGCAAGATAGTTTATATCTAAAATCTTATTTTGATTAATGTTTCCTTTATCATCAATTATGTCATTTACAAATAAAATTTTGCTGTTTATCCAATTTTTGAAAATAAGACATTTACCATTTAATTTGATATGCTTATTGCCCCATATTAGTTGCTGTCTGATATGCTTATATGTTAGTCGATTTGATTCTTTTTCAGATTTTGAGTTTATCCATGATATAATTATTTTTAAGTAAAATTCTGGAACAATTTCTTTTAGTTTATTGATTAGATTAATATTGTAAAAGTCCATTTTAAATATAAGGAATTCTTGTCCAAACTTGTCTAAGTAAAATTTTGGTAAGACATTCCAATTTGGCGATGAGTCTTCATTATCAATGAGTCTTTTTACCCAATTTATATTTACGGATTCTATATATTTATCTATGTCTATCATTTTAAGCCCGCCGGCAAGATAATTTCTACTTATTATAGCTCTTTTAACTTTTTCTGGTTTATTATTCCATATAAAACTATATATTATTTTTTTTTAATTTTGCGAGATATTCTTTATCAATTTCTGTTACTGATGATGCAACATAGGTTAAATTTGGTAGGATTAGTGATTTATCAAGAGTTATTTTACCTAACATAGTTAATTTTCTTTTATTCCAATCTTTAATTATTTTTTCCGATTTTTCGTATTGTATTTGGAAGTTTAATTTTTTACACTCATTTTTATTAAGGCCTGAAAGTGATCCGAAAATTTCGATAATGTTCAAAGTTAATGAAACTTCTTGTTTTGAATTTAAAAATAAAGTGGTGTCATCTGCAAGCTGGCTTAACTTTAGAGTATGGGTTTTATTATCTAGTTTGAATGTTTGGATGTGGAACTTAATAAAAATTGGAAGGGCATTATATCTAGTTCCAATTTGTTAAACCTTATCAAAATGCAAGACAACAAATTAAAAAATT